ATCTAACAAGGGGCATAGTAGTGCGTACATGGAAGAGCTCGCGGAGATGACAGACTGCCTAACTCTTGAAAAAGATAATTCAACTGATCTGCCTCGCACACCTCTACCTGTTGATATTGCCCCAAGTTTGCTGCCGGTGCAGAAGCAAAGTATCATGCAGCTTATTAACAAGTTTGAAGATTGTTTCTCTTCGACGTCCAGGGTCTGTCAAACGCCACTGACGAAGCATCGAATTATAACGGACATGACCAGACCCATCAGGCAAAACTTGTACAGGGTAGCTCTGCGAGAACGTGAAGCCATCGAAGACTAGGTGCGACAGATGCTTCAAGACGACGTTATTCAGCCGTCGAAAAGCCCTTGTGCTTCGCCGGTTGTATTAGTGAAGAAAAAGACGGCACCTTACGTTTCTGCGTGGATTACCGCAAGCTGAATCAAGTGACAAAAAAAGACGTCTACCCACTTCCACGTATCGACAATTCACTCGATCGACTATGGCATGCGCGTTATTTCTTGTCGATAGATCTAAGGAGTGAGTATTGGCTGATAGAAGTCGATGAAGGAGACCGGGAGAAAACAGCTTTCGTGACACCTGATGGCCTTCTTGAATTTAAGGTACTTCCATTCGGCTTGTGCTCATCACCGGCAACGTTTCAGCGGCTAATAGACACCGTACTATCAGGCCTCAAGTGGCAGACGTGCTTAGTGTATTTAGATGACGTCATCGTATTTTCTGCCACATTCAACGAGCACGTCAGGCGACTGCACTCAGTATTTAAAGCTATCCGTTCCGCCGGACTAACATTTAAGCCGGAAAAATGCCACTTCGGCTTCGAAGAGCTCTTGTTCCGGGGGCATCTTGTCTGTAGTGAAGGTGTGTGGCCTGACCCTGAAAAAATAGCTGCCGTTCCGAATTTTCCAGTGCCAACTGACAAAAAGGCGGTCAGACGGTTTTTAGGACTGTGTGCGTACTACCGACGCTTCATTGGGAACTTCTCGCGCATTGCCTCGCCATTGACCCGCCTTACCAGAGAAGACGTCGCATTCGTATGGAAGGAAGAAAAGCAAAAATCATTCGACGAACTGCGGCAACGCCTTCAGAAGCCACCAGTCCTCGCACACTTTCATGACAACGCCCCGACAATAGTGCACACCGATGCTAGCAATGTCGGCTTAGAAGCTATACTCATGCAGTGGCACGATGGTGCCGAAAGAGTAATTGCTTACGCGAGCAGAACTCTTTCAAGTGCGGAAGAAAATTATTCCACCACAGAAAAAGAGTGCCTTGCGGTGGTGTGGGCGGTTATAAAATTCCGCCCATATCTGTATGGTCGTCTTTTTAATGTTTTCAGCGACCATCACTCCCTCTGCTGGCTGACGAATTTAAAAGACCCTTTAGGACAGTTGGCGCGCTGGAGCCTGAAGCTTCAAGAATTTGACATGACGGGGGTCTACAGATCGGGGAAGCGACACTCAGACGCTGATTGCCTTTCTCGTGCGCCATACGAACCTGCGACGGCAGAAGATAACGATACAGCCTTTGTCGGAGATGTAAGTACGACAACTGTTGCACAGCTGCAACGAGACGACCCCGAACTAGAACCCATAATACGTTTTTTAAAGGGTCGCACTTCAGCTGTACCTAGACTGTCTGCGAGAGGGCTTTCATCGTTTTGCTTGCGCAACGTTGTCCTGTATAAGATGAACTTCACGCCACATGGAAATGACTACTTACTCGTCGTCCCAACATCTCTAAGGAGCGAAGTATTACAGGCATGCCACTATGAACCAACATCCGGCCACTTAGGCTACATGCGTGCGTTGTGCTGAGTGAGGCAGAAATACTATTGGCCAAGACTGACAGTGACCATTCAACACTATGTTTGGACGTGCCTTGATTGCCAGCGCAGAAAAGTCCCACCTGTTAAACCAGCAGGCCTCCTGTATCCTATTGACATGTCTGTTACTCCATTCGCTCAAGTCGGAATGGATCTTTTGGTCTCATTTGCAACCTCATCGGCAGGTCGCAGATGGATTATAGTAGTCACCGACTACCTCACTCGTTACGCCGAAACCAAGGCTCTGGAGAGGGACACAGCAAGTGAAGCAGCGCGATTTTTCGTGGAGAATGTGGTGCGGAGGCATGGGGGTCCGTTAGTAGTAATAACTGACAGGGGAACTGCAGTCGCAGCCGAACTATTACAGACAGTTTTAAGACCTAATGGCACATCCCACTGGCGAACAACGGCGTATCATCCGCAAGCGAATGGTCTTACGGAGCGTCTCAACAAGACACTTGCGGATATGCTCTGCATGTACGTCGACGTGGAGCATAAGAACTGGGACGAGATCTTGCCATATGTCACGTTCACCTACAACATGGCTCATCAAGAAACAACGAGAACAATGCCATTCTGCCTTCTTCATGATCGTGAAGTCACCACTGTGCTGGATGCTATGTTCCTGCTTGAGTGCGAAGATGCCGAAACGGATGCTGATTATATCACTCAGCTTGCCGAAGAAGCCTGACAACTTGCACGCCTACGTATTAGTCGCCAGCAGGACTACGATTCAATACGGTACAACCTTTGTCACCAAACTGTCTCCTACGAGCCAGGAGAGAAAGTTTGGATATGGACTCCTATTTGGTGCCGTGGCCTCTCAGAAAAACTGTTAAGACAGTACTTCGGTCCCTATAAAGTTCTACGGCGTCTCAGTGACATTATTATGAGGTTGTTCCAGATACTGCGCACTCCTCAATGCGTCGAAGTATGCTCCAGAAGTAGTGCACGTGGTACGGATGAAGCCTTATTTCTCCTAATGAACTCATGCGTTTCCAACGACTACAAACCACTTTGATTATAAAGCATCAGGACGATGCTTTCTTTAATGGGAGGCTAATGTCACGGCTAAAGGTCGGGCAAGAAGACAGAGGACGACGAAGTGATGAGCGTGGACAGCACCCACCGTTTCTCCGAGGAAGACGATGTCGAAGCGGCTGTTTTTTTGTTCTGTTAATACAGACCTCGTTTTTCCTGGTCGCACCGTCGTCCTGTATCCTGTTATTCTCACCTCGCGACTATCTATATATATATTGTTACGCACAAGGGGATAGCCGTCGTGGTAGCTCAGTGGTAGAGCATCGAACGCGTCATTCCAAGGTCGCAGGTTCGGTTCCTGCCCACGGCAAGTTATATTTTCACCCACTTTTCTTTCTTGACATTCACATTACAATTCAGTCTAATAACTTCCTCTATACTTTCCTTGGCATTATTGTCTGCTAGATCTTATATAATTATATATATCGTCATTGGCTACCAATTAGCACCATTTTCTGACCATGCTGAAAAAGTGTCGCAGGGCCTCTTTGTGGTAGAAGCCTTGTATGGCTCATGCCTCAGCAAATCTGGCAGTGTGAAATAGGGGTACCAAAAATCAGGTGGTCTAATTTCAGAAATAGGGAACCCTAACTGAGTTGCGCAAACCTTAAAAATGAGGGGTTGGGAGTAGCTAAAGTTGATGATTGATTTGTGGGGTTTAACGTCCCAAAACCACCATATGATTATGAGAGACACGTACCTAAAGTTATAAAGGCATTTAAATTGATTAGAAATACTAGTGCATAGGATAAGAGAATAAGAATTAAAGGGAAAGGTAAATTGGATGTGGAATATATATAGTTAATAGTAAATCAAATGTGAAATAAAGTAGTAAGCACATGCAAGTTTGAAACATGAATGAACAGTCAATGAAATGTTAAAGTGGAATAAAGGGAATCATGTGTTAAAGAGATAAAAATGATTGAAATCTTAACACCTCGGAGACCAAACCTCAGCTTGTTGACCCTGTCAACCCATATTGTCTAAGCAACAAAGAGAGAACAAGTAGTATGAAGTAATAACGCAATGAACTGAGAACTGAGTGTTTCATAAGCGTGTATGCTTTTATCTGTGTTCTCCTTCACATTAAATTATGTAGCTGAAATATTTTTAATATACAGATGAATCAAAATAAATTATGCACTTTCTTTGTATAGGAGAGCTTTCCCATTGTCGAATTTTTACACACATTCTCAAGCCACAATTTAAAAATTATCAGGCAGATGATAGTGTTGAATTAGGCTGATAGCTTGCACTATGCATTGACATAGTTGTGCGTTTCTTCAAGTTGTGCATGGGCAGAGAGAACTGCAGTTTTTTTATTTATTCCAAGTTACACTTGAGTAAGATCATGATGGGGAATATTCCACCCACTTCTCTATAGTTGTACCAAAGAAAAGAAAGTACTAGTTTAAATTAATTTTGGTAAAGCTACTGTTGAATAGCAGCGTAGCTTCCAATTGCCTTTTTGCACACATAGAGCAGGTGGGAAGTATGTTTTCCACTGCCCGTTGAAGTACTAAGAACCCTGTGGAGCTGGAAGTTGTGCTTATGAGCTTTTTGGTCAGGGTGGCTCCTACATTAGCTGTCATCTCCAAGTGGAACTCAGTCATATTTACTGCTGGGTGTCACATGTCCATACTGTGCTGTACCCCGGTGGAAGCAGATCTGTAACATTTAATATGGATGTATCTCGGAATGCTCCCATCGCCTATGGTGAGGTGGCCTCTGCTACAGTGTCCCGAGCAGCTATGATTATTGGGCACATGATAATGAATTCCACAAAACGTTGCTCTAGTTCATGCATTATGCAGGACTCAACAGTACACATGCAATACACATATACACAGCGTATTAAGCCTTAAGGACAAGTCTATATTGCAATTAACAAAACTAGGAAGGGATAGGGCAGTGGCACATTGTGGCACATTGTACACCCACTCAGGCCCTGATGAAAGTGGCTGAGCCTTATCTGGTGTGAAAAGCCTGAAGCTAAACCCTGATCGAAACTGTAAAAACTTTGGGTCAACACATCACAAAAAATATTGAGTATGTCTGTTTGCAGCATAAACAAGAGTCTTGTGCATCCCTTGTATTTTATTATTGTTTAATTTATTGTAGGACTCACTGGAAACCCACTGGCACCAGAGCTCTTCAACTTGTACAACGAACAAAACGGTGTATCAAGGCTCTTGACATACCTGTTGGATAACCTTGTAGGTAAGTCCTTCTTTTCCTTTGTCATTTCATTCTAGCACTCACTCACTGCCAGGAACTGATGCTGCTTAGGAGGGTGCAGGCTAAAGGTAATCTGCTTTTCATGGTTGGCATTTTTTCAGCAACTCGCAGAGGCACTGCGAAACATTGGGAACACAGCTAGTGCAATTCATACAAACAGTATAAATTATATTTTATCAGATAGTAGAGATTAAACTGCTTGTTGGCATCATATTTTAAGTTATCGTGTGCCTGATATAAACGTTCGAAAAAGAGCACTTTAAGCCTTTGAGAGATCAATCTTTTTTTATTTTTTTATTGCTGTTTGAAATTTTGTTGGCAAATCTGTTTCGAAAAAAAGGTGCATTATTTAGGATGATAATAAACTGGCAACGTTGTGTTGTTACCTATTAAAAAATTCTAAAGGAAGCTTATGCAACTCCAAAAAAAAAAAAAGATATGTGTAATAGCTACTTGACTTCCTTGCTACAGAGTAACTGGCACATTCTACTGTAGCATTAGTGAACCAAGTAGGTGAGCATACTAAAGGAAAAAAAAATTTATGGTTGTGCATTTATCTGAAAAGCAAAACAAGTAAAAAAACCTCTAATAATCCTTTGTTTTGTCACCAACAAAACGGAGTCTGTTTTTGTAAATCCCCAAAACAGGAAGTTTAGCCATTGTGGCATCATTTGTATAAGTCAGTGCCTGCACGGAAGCAGGTGTAATCGTGCCCTGGTGAGCAATAAAGAAGAGGGTCACGAGTGGTCACCCTTTGTGAACTTTGAAACCAGACAGCCATCAGTTTTATAGGCACATGATTTGGAAACCACTTGACGGATGAAATCGAAACTTGCCCCTGCGTGATTGCGTGCAATCGTATGCTCAAGCTATAAGCACCACACTGCTGTAGTAAAGCATTTAAAAATGAAGGCACCAGAGAAAAATTACATGTACTCCCACGGTGTGGCAGGACAGGCCAAGCAAAAAAAAAGAATAATGGTAAAAAAAAAAGCTGCACTTTTTTAACATAAAAGTGATGACATACATGCACGTCTTTGTCCTTTTTAAACGTGTTTGCAGGGGGTTTACTGCATTTCATTTACCCTAAAAGGTTCGAGGAAGATAAGAGTTGAATATTATTTTTTTAAAATCAATTTTTATTGTGTGATTGAAAAGTTAGGCTTCAACCCTCCAATTTCATATCAGGAAAAAGCCATTTCTTATACTGGAGAACCGCTGAAAATTATAAAACATGGTACCAATATGGGCTGTATTTTTCTATTCTTGCTTGACTACTAAACCTCCCAGCCACAAGTTGTGGCAACGTAGTGAGCTTTCCTGCCGCAACTACAACTGTGCATTATACCAGCATGAGTTAGGACCAACTCATTCTCCACTTTTCACCAGTGCTGAGGCAAACACCATGCTTTCTTTGAAACACTTCTGTGTAGCCATGTTTTGGGCAAACCGAAAAATATGACCAAGTCTCTCAGTGGGAAGATTTTGTTGCTATTTTAGGTCATATGCTGTGGTCGTGGCAGCCACTTCTGTAGCCCCCCGCGGTTGTGTAGTGGCTAAGGTACTCGGCTGCTGATTCACAGGTTGTGAGATCGAAGCCCGGCTGCGGCATTTCCGATGGAGGCGGAAATGCTGTAGGCCCGTGTGCTCAGATTTAGGTGCAGGTTAAAGAACCCCAGGTGGTCGAAATTTCCGGAGCCCTCCACTACGGCATCTCTCATAATCATATGATGGTTTTGGGATGTTAAACCCCACAAATCAATCAATCAGCCACTCCTGTAGCCATACTGTGGTTCAATAAAGGCCACAATATCTCTGAAGCTATTTTGCAGAAGTTTGGTATCTTTCCAGCTTTCGAGTTGATAGCTCTGAGCAACTAAAAAAGGCTATAATGTTTTACAGAAGTTTGGTATACTTCTAGCTTTGGAGTTTATAGCTCTGAGCAAGTGGAGAAGGCTATAGGAGCATTAAAAAGATTTCTTGTATGTGGAAAGCTCAAGATGAGTGCTGACAATGCAGCTTACCAAAGAAAGGCTGGTTAGTGTGAGAAGCTCACAAGGGTTCTGAAGGCACCACTTATGAAACAGGAAAATTTCATACTTCTTTTATAGTCCCTCAATAGCTTTTCTGGCCACGAAACTGCCCCTTCAAATTCATATAAAACTAATGCAGGCCGCTACGGGCGCCACAGTAAAAGAAAGGCCACCCAGCGGGGAGTGGCTGCGCAGGCGAGTCTCGTTTTTTTTTTTTTTCCTGGTATGTCGCAGCCAAAAATAAACAGCTTCTTTTAGACAATATTTGCATCCTGTGCTGCTGCATCAGTTATAATAACTAAACTTGGAACTTCCACAAATGTTTTCATATTAATGACAAGGCATATACAAAAAGTAGAAATCTCAGCTTCAGCTGGCGGTGCAGTTTGCCAGCAGAAGATAAGCAATAAACCTTTTAGTCACTGCATAACTTGTCTTTAGCTAGCCCGATAGGCCTCAAAAAAAAAAAGACATCATTGTGATGCACTGGACACAGGATAGGACATCAGCACCATTAACATTAAATCCATGACTAGCTGAGCTCAAGGACGTGAATTGTTGTTTCTTGGACAGGGTGTGTACAGGTCCTTGAAATCCTTGAAAACTCTTGAATTTGGAAAACGGGTTTTCAAGGCCCTTAAAAGTCCTCGAATTTTTCCTCATTTTTGAAAATCCTTCAATTTCCTGAGCGGTGCACTTCCAGATTGACATTTCAACCTCCCTAATGTGGTAGATCGCTGTCGTCCTGACAAACTCGCCGGTTCATAAACAGTAGTTTGGCGTGAGTGCACATGGTTCTGTTTTGCAGAACTACACTGGGAAAAGAAATTCAGTTTGTCTGTCGGTGTGGCGTAGCAATGAATGCTCTCTCAACCATTCTTATATTCTCAACCACTCTTAAAGCATTCATTGCGTGTTATGTTCTTGAGAACCTATCAAGACTACTAGATGGTTTTGTTATAATTGTAATGTCCATTTATTAATGATGTTCATTTACATAAATACAATAAAACTAGCCATTTTTAAAGATTTTGGAGGAAAAATATTAAGTTTGCATGACACTTTGAGACCTTGGAAAACGTGCAACAGGTCCTGGTAAGTCCTTGAATATCCTTGAATTTTTGCTTTGGAAACCTGTACGAACCCTGTTGAACTTCTGATAGCACGTATGTTGTTCAAGCAGCGGTGACAGACTATTTTTACATGACAGAAAATGTACTAGGACATGAGCGTGCATTTGCCAGTAATCTGTTTGAAATGAATACATCGGCAGATTGTAGCTGCCAAAAAAACATTTTCATGATGGGAACTGCTCTTCTTTTCAGGCCTTCAGAACTTGGTAGTCATGCATATCAGCTAAAAAATGCACCAAAGTTTTGAATTGCATTTTTGTTTCATAATCCTTGATGAAAACCGCATGGCCTAATCAATCCCCTTGATTTTTCTGTGTGCTTCTTAATCTCTATTTTATATGAGCAGGGCTACAAGGCTTGACGCACGATTGCATTCGCTGCACTTCTTTCTTGGTGAACCAGGACACTTTTAGTAGAATTGCAATCGCAATCTTCTTTTCATTGAGATGAAGTCGGGCAAATACTTATAAGATATAACTGATAATTTTGGCCTTCACTCAGCACTGGGATAATGTAGAGCTCAAAAGACATCTTACGAGAGTATTGGCACAGAAATCTTGCATCTTGTTTTTTGTTGTTACAAGAAGTAGCTAATGGCCTGTTCGTCATGGCTGGAAAACTCTCTTGCGCATGATGGCTCTTGAAGCCATTTCAGTGATTTCAGGGGCTTTCAAACTGTCTGTGGTCGTGACTTCTTATTAGTAAAGTATACTGGCAGGCCGTCGAACACTCAAGAAATGGGGTTAGGACTGAGGGCCAGCGTGTCTCTCGGCAACTCTTCTGTGTCACCGTTTATCATGATATCGTCCACATGCAAGATGTCCAATGATTTAAGGTGCTTTGTGCACACACACATATGCTTCTAATTGATGCCGAAGTTGTCCATTTCTAGCCGTGTTATGGCTCACTTCCAGTTCTTGAACTGCCCACAAACACTTGGCATAGTGGTTGTTAAACAGCACCTCTGTACACAGCACCTGAACGGCATCATCATACACACAAGCTGCTTCAATTGTATGATGCCTGAACTTGGCCCTTATCCAGTACAATTGCAAATACAGATAGGTACACGTGCAAGCTTTCAGCTCACGTTGGCTGCATTTGCGGTCTCTGCGGCATCTTCCTCGAGAAACGTGGCCTCAAAACGATGGTGACGCCACAGCACAGCAGCTTTTCTTGCCATATCAAGCTCCTCCATAGCGTGGCGGCGAAGTTTTGTGACTATAGAAAGTATTAAAAGACTATGGTATTATACTTATGCAAGAGTCGGTCAGCATTGTGGCTAAACCTTAAGGAAATGGACTGTCTGAACTACAGGTTTTGCCGCTTATATTAATCCAAGTGCCAGCTTGAATCATCCGCACGCCACTGAAATAATCTGAATGACAAGCTATCTAATCCATGTGCCGAATATATATTCAATCCAAGCGCCAACATATTTGATTCAGGCGCCAACTCAATTAGGCCGCGTGCCAGTGAATTTAGTTCAAGTGCCACCATATTTAATCCAATCAGTGAGTTTAATTTATGCTCAAAAAGTAGAATATAGGGCATAAAAATGGCAGTACAATTGAAATGCAGTTCCTACAATATATAGGATAATAGAACAAATCATTATTATTTGTATTCGCTGCCAGTATTTGTGATAAAAAATTACTGTCGCTGTTCTCTTGAGCTGTGTTTGTACTTTACTGTGTAAGAGTTTGTAGATAAGTGCTTGGCCCGAGTGGAGTCAATTTAATGGCAAAGAAAAAAAAAGCACAAACATGTTAACGAATATTTTGTGTTCGTCACTAAAGCTCATTGCTAGATTTGT